TAGGGTGTTTCGCTTTGACAGATTGAGGGGTTTGCCAAGGCTGTCTCTGGTCGTTTCACAGCAATTGAGGGCCCTGACAGACCCTGTCCTTCTATGGGACACCTTCAAGTATGAAACATTTGAGGCAGCCCATGAATCAGTTGGTGAACGCCCAAGAGCAAGACAGAGTTCCATCTCGCAGGAGACACTGGAAGCCACAGATGCTTGTCGTGTGGCTCGATTGTCGGGATCACAACTTGCATTGGTCTCTGGCGCATAGGACTAGGACACTATTGGTGGGACTGCAGCAATCACCGAGGCATTACACTGCTCAGTATACCGGGCAAGGCACTCGCACACATCTTACTGAGATGTATCAGAGACCACCTGCTGAAGCACCAAAGGCCGGAGCAATCGGGATTCACTCCTGGTAAGTCAACAATAGACTTCATCCTGGCGCTTCGAGTCATCAACCTTATGAAGGCGTTTGATACAGTACATCGCGAATCACTCTGGGAGATCCTGAGTCTAAGAGGAATTCCAACAAGGATTGTTGGATTAATAGCAAACCTGTATACAGGCACTAAAAGTGCTGTAAAGTGTGGTGGGGGCCTGTTGAGCTTCTTCCCTGTTAGTGCAGGGGTGAGGCAAGGCTGTGTTCTTGCACCAACACCTTTCAACACTTGCATGGATTGGATACTGGGTAGAGCTACTGTCCAAAGTCACTGTGGAGCAACTCTGGGCAATATCAAGGTTACTGACCTTGACTTTGCTGATGATGTTGCCATTCTATCTGAATTTCTGGAAACCCTAGTGGCGGCTCTTGATGCATTCAGCAATGAAGAGGAGCCTCTGGGGCTAAAGGTCTCCTGGACCAAGACCAAGATCCAGGAATTTGGAGGCCTACTAGGAGACCCTGTGCAGTTGGTACATGCTTGCGGTGAAAACATTGAAGTTACCAAGAGCTTTATATACCTCGGTAGTGCAGTTCACAACTCTGGTCTGTCAGACCAGGAAGTCAGTTGACAGATTGGCCTGGCAGCAGGGGTTATGAAATCTCTCGACACGAGCATTTGGAAATGCCGGTACCTGTGCAGAATGACCAAGTTACGTGTTTTCAAGCTTCTTGTGCCGGATCATGGCGGGACCATGTGTCCAACCAACGGTTGCACCGGGAGACTGGCACAGGACCTGTTACTTGCATAATCCATGATCGCCAACTCATGCTATACGGCCACTTGGCTCGACTCCTGCAGGATGACCCTGCCCACCAGGTTGTCTGTCCGTGACAACCCTGGGTGGAGGAGGCCTGTGGGACGACCAAGAAGGTCGTGGCATGGGCAGATCGATCAAACCTGTCGAGAGGAAGTAGAGATAGGCCGGGCCCCTGCCTGGCGGTTCGCTATGAGAGACCCTCGCAGGTGGAAGCGAGGGGTGGATGCGGCTATGCGCCCCTGCCGGCGTTAGCTCCAAATGATTGATTGACTGATCAAAGTAACAAATAACAAAAGTAAATCTGTTTTTAAAAACATGATTATATATGTGTGTGTATAGTTATTTATATGTATATATTTGTGTTCATATGTATACAGTTTTTAAAAACATGATTATATATGTGTGTGTATAGATATTTATATGTATATATTTGTGTTCATATGTATACACATGTATATATTTGTGTATATACGCAAATATATACAGATGTACATACGTATACATCTGTATATATTTGCGTATAGACGCATGTATATGTATGCATATATATGTATATGTGAATATATATACATATGCGCGGTCACTCAGCTGAGACGAATTTACCGGGACAGAGTGTGTGAAGAAATAAGGTAAGGTCATGGGATAATTAGTTCAGGTATTTCGTTCTGATTCATATATTCATGCATACAAATACGCAGAATGTATTTAAGTGAACATATTTACTGTATACATATATATTCATAAATTTATATATCAATATGTATTATGTATAAAAATATATATATTATATCATATATACAATGCATACTATATCTGCCTTTCTATCACTATATATACATATATATACATGTGTAAATATCTACACTTATTTATCCATACACACACATGTGTGTATATAGTACATGCATACATATACATATATGTATGCATGTATATAGTATATATATAATATATTTAATATATATTCATATATTTATATATACATATATAAAGTATACATAATGTATATTTACATATATATATATATATATATATACATATACATAAAGTATACATAATGTATATATATATATATACATATACATATACATAAAGTATATATAATATATATATATATATATATATATATATATATATATATATATATATATATAATGTATATGTGTGTTTGTGTGTATATGTGTGTTAATATACATAAACTATACATACTATATCTATCCTTCTATCAATATGTGTATATATTTATACATATTTACACATGTATATTCTCTCTCTCGCTCACACACACACACACACACACATATATATATATATATATATATATATTCATGTGCACAAGTGTGAGCATATATATATATATATATGTATACACACATATATGCATATATTTACATAAATATCATATACATCTTGTACTCATAACTATACGAATATATATATATATACATATATATATATTTATATATAACTGTGTATACACAAACATAGCCTTGAACATGTACACACACATACATACCTGCATACACACACATGGACACATACACAATATATATATATACACCCGTGCAATTTCATAGACATGCGCACGTCACATGTACCTCCATGTGTGTACATATGTATACACACCTACCTACATACGAACACATTCATATACACCTTGTACACGTACGTATGACTATACATACACATACAACCATACATGTGAACACGCACACGCGTATGCACACGTTTATGAGTACACCCGCATATATATGTATACACCTATACATGTAATTCATATAGATGCACATACATATGTATGTATATATAAATACATATACACACAAATATACATATCTATTTACATATATACCATCAAGTACAAACAGGGGAACACACACATGACATGCATGTACTCTTACACATAACAATACGCACAGACATACTTTCATACACATGGCTGCATATGTGCATACGTGTCCCATATGTAAATTTAAACGCGCATGTGTATTGCTTCTCTTGTATACACACACATGGACACATACACACATGTACGCGCACACATATATGCCTGCGTACTTCCTAGCAGACGCGCTCATACTCATGCAAAAACGTTTGAACTGTGTCTGCATGGACACACATACGCACTCCATTATAATGAGCCCTGCATTATAGTGTGTACTATAAAAAAAAAATACATATATATAGGCACACACGCACATATATATACACATACACGTTATGCTATATACATAAAAATGTATTTATGTAAAAAAAGTATATGTATACATATATATTTATATATACATTATATCTATCTATCTATCTATATATCTATCTCTCTCTCTCTATATATATATACACAGAGAGAGAGAGAGAGAGATACGCATATATCTATGAGCACGCGCTAGTGGTGCGTGCATGGTGGATTGAGAAACTCCAAAAATTACCTAACTACTCCCTTGGGCAAGGCTCATTGGTTAATCACCCTAGTATAAATAATCAGCATGTCAACATTGTGCTAATTAATTCGCCAAACACAGCATCAGTAAAAAACAAAAAACAAAAACATATAATATATATTTATATATGTAAATATGTATAGGCATATATATATATATATATATATATATATATATATTTATGTATATGCATGTATATATATTTATATATATGTCTATAGGTATATTTGTAAATTGTTACAAGAAAATATACTCATCTAGTAGGGCCATAAGACCTTGATTTTTAGCACATTTATTTGTTTTAGCTATTAACCATTACCCAGTAGGAGCACCAACATTACGTATACATATATATAGATAGATGTGTGTGTGCCTTTGTTTGTGTTTTTGTGTGTGTGAGTGCGTGTATGTGTCTGTATGCGTGTGTGTGTGTATTTAGATGTATACAGATTTATTGATTTATGTGCACACACATATACATACATACATACTATGTTTGTATATGCATATATATATATATATATATATATAAATATATATAAAGATGTTTATTCATGTATATATTTGTTTTTATATTTAGATTTATCTACACACACACACACATATATATACACACCGGTATCTCGTTTATCGTTACTTATATATAGTTATCACATCACCAATATTATTTACTTGTATTATAAGTATCCGCATTTTTACAATATTTTATATTATGAAGAATATTAGCATTATTATTGTTATTACTGATATAATGTTTGGTATAATAATTCTTAGTTTTACTGTTTCTGGCACTGGTATTGGCACTGTTGTGATAAAAATGACCATTACCATTGGCATTATTGTTAATATTAGTATCAGTATTGTTACACATGATTTTTAACAATTTCACCCACAGATAAGTAGATAGATAGAAGAGGGTTTATTTTACATACATATATGTATATCATAATTATTAATTACTTTGCTGTAAGTAAACATGTGGGAATACGTTATGAAATGAATTGTCTTGTTATTGTAAGTATGGTTATTGTTATATTAAGTAATATAAAATCATTTATGATCATTTTAGTATCAAAATTATTATATAGTTGGCATATATTACTTGGCATACATTCCATGCACAGGATGACGATGAGTATCCTCGCCGACTGGATGCCTCTGGCCCCACTCACGGACGAGGAAATTTATGGCACAGGAGCCAGTATCAAAGAAGAGCTCAGTGAAGATATTTCCGCTTGTATTGAAATTAAAGAAGAACCGTTTGATTATGCAGACAAAGAGAGGGTGAACAACGAGAAAGTGAAACATGAATGTCTTTTCTTTCATAGTTTTGATGAAGTAAGACATGAAGGAAATGAAAAGAACATGTATAATATGGTTCAGGATCGGAAAGGCACGTTAAGAACGCCTTTTGTGGTTGAGAATTGTCTGAATAAGAATTCATCAGATGGAGATCAGGCGATGCATAAGGAAACTCTTAATCAGGATACACAACCAAAAGTGGAAGCCAAATTGAAAAGTTTTGTATGTGAGGGATGTGGCAAGAAATTTCCTCATAAGAATTATATCAACATTGATATGAGAGTTCACACAAAAAAAGAAGCCATTCAGCTGTGAGATTTGCAGCAAGGCCTTCTCTCAGAAAGGTACTACAGTAAAGCACACGAGAGTGCATACAAAGGAGAAGCCATTCAGCTGTAAGATTTGCTGCAAGGCCTTCTCTCAGAAAGGTGCTATAGCAAAGCACATGAGAGTACATACAAAGAAAAGGCCGTTCAGCTGTGAGATTTGCAGCAAGGCCTTTTCTGTGAAAGATATTCTAGTAGATCACATGAGAGTGCATACAAAGGAAAAGCCATTCAGCTGTGAGATTTGCAGTGAGGCCTTCTCTCATAAAGGTCATCTAGTAGAGCACATGAGAGTGCATACCAAGGAGAAGCCATTCAGCTGTGAGATTTGCAGCAAGGCCTTCTCTCAGAAAAGTACTATAGTAAAGCACATGAGAGTACATACAAAGGAGAAGCCATTCAGATGTGAGATTTGCAGTAAGACCTTCTATGAGAAATGTACTCTAGTAGATCACATGAGAGTGCATACAAAGGAAAAGCCTTTCAGATGTGGGATTTGCAGCAAGGCCTTCTCTCTGAAAGGTACTCTTGTAAAGCACATGAGAGTACATACAAAGGAGAAGTCATTCATATGTGAGAATTGCAGCAAAACCTTCTATGAGAAGGGCCATCTATCAAGGCACATGAGAGTACATACAAAGGAGAAGCCATTCAGATGTGAGATTTGTGGCAAGACCTTCTATGAGAAAGGCCATCTAGCAAGACACATGAGAGTACACACAAAGGAGAAGCCATTCAGATGTGAGATTTGCAGCAAGGCTTTCTCAAAGAAATGTACTTTAATAAAACACATGGGAGTACAAACAAAAGATAATCCATTCAGCTGTGAGATTTGCAACAAGGCCTTCTTGTGAACAACACGTAGCAAGACCGGATGGCAGATTCACACCTCGGTCCAAGTAAATGCCTTTCTCCTTGCGCAGGATGCAGGTGCTGCCCTCCTTTCTCTTTTCACACAGGAATAAACATCCGCCCTCCAAGGAAACCGCCGCATAAAAGGGCACGTGCCTAAGACACAGGGGGGACAGAAGGAGACACGGCAGACAGGCCAAGCGACACAGGGTCCAGCTCCACCACCTCGTCCTCCACCCGGGGACACGGGGGTCTCTTGGGGGTCTCATATCTATCTTCAGAAATAAACCAGCAAGTTAAGACCCCTTTCATTGACCACCCCAAGACCCTCTGTTACGCTTACATCTGATGGCAGCGGTGATCAAGAACCTCACAACGCCTTACGCTTACATCTGATGGCAGCGGTGATCAAGAACCTCACAACGCCTTACGTTTACCTCCTCGCCGACGCCGATCCATGCTATCTGCCTACAAGCTACTACTGTCGAAGTGCCTCTTCGCCTACTTTAACGCCCAGCCATTGCTACCAAGTCTTCTTCGCACCATGTCTACCCTACTACTTCGTGCTGACTACTCACGTCTGTGCTACCCTCCTGACGAAGTCGCTGACGATATGTTCCCGCACTCTACGCCGCCACAAATCCGGCTCATCTACCTCGCCACGTCTTCACGAACCTTCGTCAGCATAACCATGGAGCCGCCATTCTACTCAGCACCACCAATACTTCCTAGCTACTATTAAAAGTAAGTGTGCCTATTAGTGCCAGATTAACTATTGCCCTCCCTATACCCACCCACACCTTGCATACAAGTTGCCTTCTTTCAAATTCAAGTACATGCCACTCAACGAACACAAACTACTAACTTTATGATAAATAACCTCTCGCTGTCAACCATTGTTGTTGTTTTTTCAACACAACAAGCGAAGTCACACACTGAGATCAAACACAAGTGACACACACCACACCTCACACCTCAATCCCCTTCCCTAACCATACTTTAATTGCTATGATATTTTTCTGCTATTCTGTGTTTATCTAATGTTTATTATTATTGTCTTCACATTGCAGTTCATTATATTCTACTTTCTCTTAGAACAGATAAGTATGTGTAGATATGTTCGATTTCCCCCGTTATGTTATTCATATTTACTGCTACGATTTTCGTTGTGATGTTATTGTTTTCACCTGCATACTGTACCCTATTAGTAAGTAACTCGTTACTACTTCCTCTATGAATGTGCGTATATCGTTCTGTCTTTCACAACACCTGTATTTACTTATACTCCCCACGCTAATCGTTCGCTTTTTCACACATAGGTTTAAGATTCATGCCGATTACCTGCATTAGGTCCAAACCCACCTACCTGCCCACCCTACACGGAATTCACTCTAGGATTATGATTTTTACTAAGTGCCATCCCTAAGACTTTCAAATGAACCCAAATCGTTTTCATGACGCCCTCTCGAAGTTCGATATCTTATCCTCATCTATGCTAGAATTTATGCTTCTTTAGCTTAAGGAATTGGTGAATATGTAACTTGTATCTGACTGATGGTAGGTAGTCTATTGCAAATGATCATAACGATGATAATGCATTACAGGACACCATACTTCATATAGGCTTACATTATTATTATCACCGCAAGTTAATTTTAAGCCCGGCTCATGGCCGTAACGAGAGAATCCTGCGCCCGCCGCACCGAGATATTACTTACGCTCATACGATTGAAGCGCCCGAAACGCGCACGCCCGGCTCCAGGCCGTAAACGAATGAATCCTGCGCCCGCCGCACCGCGATGTTATTTACTCTCATACGATTGAAGCACCAAGACGCGCACGCCCGGCTCAAGGCCGTAAACGAATGAATCCTGCGCCCGCCGCACCGCGATGTTATTTACTCTCATACGACTGAAGCGCCCAGACGCGCACGCCCGGCTCAAGGCCGTAAACGAATGAATCCTGCGCCAGCCGCACCGCGATGTTATTTACTCTCATACGACTGAAGCGCCCAGACGCGTACGCCCGGCTCAAGGCCGTAAACGAATGAATCCTGCGCCCGCCGCACCGCGATGTTTTTTACTCTCATACGATTGAAGCGACCAGACGCGCACGCCCGGCTCATGGCCGTAAACGAAAGAATCCTGCGCCCGCCGCACACTTACGCTCATACGATTGAAGCGCCGAGTCGCGCACTGTTAGAATTAAGTTCAGGCCCAGCTGCCTATATGTTCGAAGCATATATACTTGCCTATGTAGCCCAAAGATATGGAATTCTTGTCCAATTACTTTTTCTCTCTTCGGTATGATGGTACTCTATAGAACTCGCTAATCCTAACAAATCCAAGTAATTAACACCACTTACTTGACACATTACCCTTCTCGTAACAAACTATTCTTATTATGCCCTCATTTTTTTCTTGCGACTTAGTAAGGTGATTGACAAACGCATTATTACCATCCCCTTAGCCCTTTTACTGGCCTGGTACACTTATATTTCAGCTTCTGAAGATGATTGACCCTCCTCGCTACTGAATGTTGCACCTCAGTGCGAAACCTCCGCCGCACCCGCTACCTTGACGCGCGACGACCCAAGCGACCATCGGATCACCAGGAACTATCTGTAGACACCGAACAGAACCTGTATCCCTATGCGCTACTGCAGTGTTCCAGCGTTGCAGACGGCTCGAGGACGAGCCTTTCGCGCGGCCGAGCGATGTGAACAACACGTAGCAAGACCGGATGGCAGATTCACACCTCGGTCCAAGTAAATGCCTTTCTCCTTGCGCAGGATGCAGGTGCTGCCCTCCTTTCTCTTTTCACACAGGAATAAACATCCGCCCTCCAAGGAAACCGCCGCATAAAAGGGCACGTGCCTAAGACACAGGGGGGACAGAAGGAGACACGGCAGACAGGCCAAGCGACACAGGGTCCAGCTCCACCACCTCGTCCTCCACCCGGGGACACGGGGGTCTCTTGGGGGTCTCATATCTATCTTCAGAAATAAACCAGCAAGTTAAGACCCCTTTCATTGACCACCCCAAGACCCTCTGTTACGCTTACATCTAGTGGCTTGCGTGGTCACTTACGCTTACACTTCTCAGAGAAAAGTATTCTAGTACAGCACATAAGAGTACATACAAAGGAGAAGTCATTCAGATGTGAGATTTGCAGTAAGACCTATGAGAAAAGCCATTTAGCAAGGCACATGAGAGTACATACAAAGGAGAAGCCATTCAGCTGTGACATTTGCAGCAAGGCCTTCTCCGAGACAGGTAATCTAGTAAAGCACATGAGAGTGCACACAAAAAAGAAGCCTTTCAGCTGTGAGATTTGCAGCAAGACCTTCTATGAGAAATGTACTCTAGTAAAGCACATGAGAGCACATACAAAGGAGAAGCCATTCAGCTGTGAGATTTGCAGCAAGGCCTTTTCTGTGAAAGATACTCTAGTAGATCACATGAGAGTGCATACAGAGGAGAAGCCATTCAGATGTGAGATTTGTAGCAAGACCTATGAGAAAGGCCATCTAGCAAGACACATGAGAGTACATAGAAAGGAGAAGCCCATCAGCTGTGAGATTTGCAACAAGGCCTTCTCTGTGAAAGGTACTCTAGTAAAGCACAAGAGAGTGCATACAATGGAGAAGCCATTCAGCTGTGAGATTTGCAGCAAGACCTTCTATGAGAAAGGCCATCTAGTAAGGCACATGAGAGTACATACAAAGGAGAAGCCATTCAGTTGTGAGATTTGTAGCAAGACCTCTGAGACAGGTAATCTAGTAAGACACATGAAAGTACATACAAAGGAGAAGCCATTCCGCTGTGACCTTTGCAGCAAGACCTTCTCTGAGAAAAGTTCTCTAGTAAAGCACATAAGAGTACATACAAAGGAGAAGCCATTCCGCTGTGAGCTGTGCAGCAAGTTCTTTAGTAAAGCATAGGAGAGTACATACAAAGTACATACAATGTGGCCTCCACATTCTAGTAAAGCATATCAGATTACATAGAAAGCGGAAGCCATACAGTTACGATATTTCCTAAAAGGCATTCTCACATAACCATAATCACATGAGCCATTTAAGAGTACATGCAATGAAGTAACCATACTCCTGTAATATTTGCAATAAGGCTGCACATGAAACAACTCTTGTGAATCATATTATATTGCATATAAAGGAGAAGCCATACTGTTGTGTGATATGCTAAAGCTATGATATCTATAATAATTAATCTATTGAGGTATTTTTGAGACTACATACAAAAGAGAATCCATATACATAATATATTTTAACACAGAGAAGATATCTCGTGGGGAATAAATAGCATTATATTTCATCTAAAGGTAACAAACTTCTTGATACTATTGGTGAGTAATTGTCCCAAGCTTTTAGGAACACATTTACTGATTTATGCTGTACAAAACATTTTTAATATTTAGATTTTTCAAGAAAAATAAGCTTTTATGATTTATGCTTACTTAATTTTCCATGGTGTTTTTGTTCAGGTAAACTCATGTTTGCCTTTACTAAACAAGGATGTCAAAATACATGACGGCTCCTCAACCTCCTCAATATGGCAACTGATTTGGAAGACTTCATTTATTGAAAATAGGGTTCTAGCTTGTACTATGATCCTCTTTATTGTAATTAAAATAAAAAGATTCATGTATTCTATATGAAAATGACGTACGAAGTATTTCGTTTTGATGATTAAACGAAAGAAGACCGACACACACATGCCTATATCTATATCTGTCTGTATACACATATATGTATATATATACACATATGAATATATATATATATATATATATATATATATATATATGTGTGTGTGTGTAGAGATGGATAGATAAATAAATATATATATAGAGACACACACACAAATATATATATATGTGTGTGTGTGTGTGTGTATGTATATATATATATATTTATATTATTCCTCAGCTTTCTCCCGTTTCTATACGGGGTCGCTGTTCCTGGTCAGCCGTTTCCAAACGCCTCGGTTTTCATATTCACCTATATTTAGATCAATTCCTTTGCTTCTTAGATCATCTTGTACACAATCTTTCCAGCGTCTCTTTGGTCTCCCCCTCCTTCTTCTAACTTCCACTATCATATCAGAGATTCTATTTCCCAGGTATTGTCCATCTCTTCTTTTAACGTGACCATACCATTGAGGCCTCCGCTCCAGCACTTTCTTTGAAGCTTCTACCACCTTAGTTGTCCCTCTAATTCTTTCATTCCTGATCTTATCAAGTTTTGTTACTCCGCACATCCACCTCAACATCTTCATTTCGGCTACGTCCAGTTTCTTCTGTGACTTTTAAATAGGCCACGCTTCCGCACCATAGATCATTGCAGGTCTTACTACCATTTTATGAAATTTACGCTGATCTTCTTGTCGCATAGCACTCCAGACACGTTTTTACAATTATTCCACCCAGATTTTATCCTATGGTATATATCGACATCGAAATTTCCGTCTGATGTTAAATGCGAACCAAGGTATTTAAAGTTATTGACCTTTTTCACCTTTTACCCCAATAACATAATTTCTCCAATTTCCTCTTCTCCATTGAAAACCATGTATTCTGTTTTCTTACGGCTGATCTTTAGCCCTCTATCCTCCATTTATTTTCTCCACGCTTCTAGTTTTCTTTCTACCCTTTCTCTGGTGGTATCGATTAGGACTATGTCGTCCGCAAACAACATATCCGAAGGGGCTGGTGTGATGATGTTTTGGCCCAAAACTTCCATTATCAGGTCAAAGATGTACGGACTCAGAGAAGACCCTTGATGGAGTCCAACTGGGACAGAGAATTTTTCTGTCAGTCCAGCGCTCGACCTTGCTTGCGTTGTTGCCCCCTCATACATATCCTGCACTAATCTGACATACTTTTCAGACACATTCCTTTCCTTCAAACACCTCCATACTTCTCCTCTTGGCACCCTATCATACGCTTTTTCAAAGTCTATAAATACCATATGGAACTTTCTCTGTTTTTTCCCCATATTTCTCCATCATTTGCCTAACAGCAAAGATGGCACCCGTTGTCCCTCTTCCAGGCATGAACCCAAACTGTTGGTCATCTATCTGAGTTTCATTTCTAATCCTCCTTTCTATGATTCTTTCCCATATTTTCATTGTATGTGACATCAGTTTGATTCCTCGATAGTTCCCGCAATCTTGTATGTCCCCCTTTTCTTTATATATTGGTATGATCACACTCTCCCTCCATGCATTGGGCATCTTTCCTTGATCATAGATCCTCCTGAAAAGATCCCACTAGAGATCCACTCAATCATCGCCCAAACTTT